TAAAGCAATATTCACTTCAAATTAAATATAACAGTGCTTTTTTTAATCCCTACAACAAGTACATTAAGCTCATATCCAAACCCAAGCCACGTTCCCTCAGGATTGTAGATAAATGCAATCTGGTTCTTTTGAGTTTGACCAATTTTTTTCCCCCAAAGTTTTTCTGCTCTATAGTTACAGTACTTCATTGTTTGACTTCTTTCAAATCATTTTCATTCCCACTATCGCATTAAAACTGAAATATAGCAGCTAACATCCCTTCATGCTTCACATGCTTATAGCATCCTAAGAGAACACAGAAGCTCTTAATTTTGTTAATGTTCTAATTACCAACTCAAACGAAGCCCACTATGATGTTGTCAAACTTAGGAAACCAGTCAACCACCTCCTAGAATACAGTCACCTCTTTACAGATGTCACCAATGAAAAGACACAGCATCAGGTTCTTACAATGTGAGGCCAAAACAATTTAGCCATCTTTCATTAGTAGCACCTAAATCTACTGTTTACTTTCCAAAAAATCCATCGGGGCCACATTTCATAGATAAAACAATGCCTTCAGACAGTAACACCCTAACTGAAATGCTGCTAATGCTCAAAGGGACGCTGCAGTCAAGATACAAATTGGCTTCTCAAACACTAATCAAGTCGATTGCTATAACATTTGGCAAAACCAGTATTTGTTGTACCTTTGAAAAAGAAAAAAAAACATGAGAAGTTGAAATTATGATTTAGTCATAAACAGATTATGGAAAAATTAATAAGTGAGACACAGGCATAGATGTCCAAACTCCTTGAATCACAAGTCATGGATCCAATTCTATTCTATGCACAGTAGGCATTTCCAAGATTTCAAATACTAAGACATGCAGGGTTTAGGTATAGCATAGGATGCCTACAAACTCAAAGATAATTTCATTCTAAGAAAGAATTCCTTACCATTTGCAAGCATAGCAACACCTCAAAGACATGATGGAGAACAATGTAAACACATTTATATAAGATATTTTGGCAATTTCAACTGAATCCGATTGCTAAGAAATACTGACACATTTGCACTTCATGCTCTTCAAAGTCCATTAAAATATGGGCTTTAACAAACAATTTGGAAATTCAGTATGTAGTTGTCACCCTGTTTTCCAACTATTCCACAGCATGGTATTTACAGCTTTTAGATAATGCTAAACCTTAAATATACAGATGCTAAAGTTTTTTTCTACAGTAATACTATACAATAAGACCACAGAACAGCTATGAATAAAATATGCACTTGTCATTTCCAATGCAATTTAATAAACCCCAAGGTTATGAACAATTAGCCTCATGAAAATATTTGTCAGCATGTGACTGACCTCCTTATAGCTCATTACTGTAACACCATTTTGACTCTGAACGTTCCATCTTTGCCCTACTACATTATTTCAACTTAACTTTCAGCAACAACACATCAACTGTCTCCTGTATCCCATACAGCCTTTCCTCAAAATGGTTACTTTACCAAGTACAGATCTGATCTCGACTACAGGTGGCAAGGTTACATAGTTACAATTGTCATTGTCAGGGGATGGGGAGATGGGCGTGGATCATATTTCAGAACAAGGGAAGGGGATGTGCATTCAGGGTGTTGAGGATTTTTATTGCCCTTGGCATACTGACAGACCCACTGTTCTCAGCATTTTGCTTGTATTTCTGACAAAGTCACCAGACTCAAAACGTTAACTCTACTTTCTTTCCTCCACCAGATGCTGCCAGACCTGCTGAGTTTCATCAGCAATTTCTGCTTTGGTTTTTACAATGTCATTGAGGAAATTTGCAGTTATCACCACGTATGGTGTAACTGTTTGATGACTGCACACTGTTCAGCACCATTCACAACTCCTCAGCTACTGAAGCAGTCAATGTCCAAATGCAGCAAGGTCCAGACAATACCCAGACAGGGGCTGATAAGTGGCAAGTAACATGCGTGCCACACAAATGACAGACAATAACTGGCTTCAATAAGAGGCAGTTGGTTATATGGTCACCATTGTTGATATTAGTGATTTATTTTGTTCCACATTTCTTCAATTTAATAATCTTACCATCAGCCCTTGACATTCAAAAGGCACTACCATCACTGAATCCCTTATCAACATCTTGGAGTTACCACTGACCAGAAACTGAACTGAATTAGCCATACAAATGCAGTGGCTGCAACAGCAAGTCAAAGGCTAGGAATACTGCACTTCCTGACTCCCTAAAGCCTGTCCACCATCTACCAGGCACGACTGAAGTGGTTGATGGAATACTCACCACTTGTCTTGACGAGTGCAAGTCCAACAACAAACAAGGGCATCTGAATACATGGGAACACCACCACCACCAAATTCCCCTCCAAATCACTCATCCTGACATCACTATTCCTTCATTGTTCCTGGATCAAAATCCTGGAACTCCTTCTCTAATAGCAAGATTCACAGCCACTGACTGAATGTTTTTTTAAAATTACATTACAGTTACAATGTAACTGACTCTTAACTACTTTCAAATTGTATCAAAAGCCATTTACCTGTGTTCAAAAAAGCAGTTCACCACCAGCTTCTCAAGCCAGCAGTCACTAAAGGGTAATAAACTGTGTGCCAGAAATACCTGCACACGACAAATCAATAAGAACTCTATCCAAACAATTTACTTCGATGTATTTTTATATCCAACACGGGTTGAATAGGTTGTTTTTTTTGTCCCAGTGCTTTGACAAAGTTTTTTTCTTTAAACACAAAATGTTAAAACCAATTTGGCTATATACAAGGTCTGAACAGTACAATAAACAAAACTTGTGTGTTAAATTTATCTAAATTACAAAAGCTTTTTGCCATTGCAATCTGATAAATTTCAATTTGTGGCATTGCATTAATCATATAGCAAGAAACGTATTAACCAGAGTCCATTCTATTCCTGAGATAGTAGGAACTGCAGATGCTGGAGATATTCCTAAACGTTGTTGAGCTGCAGGAGTTAACTTCACTACAGCTTATTACACAGAGGTATACAACTGTGCCGGAAGTGTAACTGTGAGCTCAAGCGCATGCGCGGCCGCTCCTGTCAATGAATACTCACTATTTGGCAGAGGACACTCGGGCCCTGAGTCCGGGCTGCCCCATCGAACCTGTTTCCTCCAGAGCCCGCACAACAGCAAACTGTACCAAAGCACTAACTAATTGACATAGGAAAATAGTAAGCGACAAATCTTCAGCTACAAACCGAGCAGCAGCGATTTCGCAAAGCTGACTTGCCCTAATCTCCGCTTTCATCGCCCTTGTTCAGTCGCTATGAGTTAAGGACCACCATTGCAGAACCGCACTGCACACTGGGATTCCGTCTTCCCCGCCCCTCCAACGGTCACATGGCCCGAACCGCGCTCTTTGCCGCCAGCGGACTGCGTGCAATCCCTTGGATGGTACCACGTGCAGGTGGGTGAGTTGCTCCAGTGCTCACTAATTTCCACAATTTCCAGTGTCATCAAACCAAGACAGAAATGCCAAACAAAGTGTCCCTTTTTTGTTAAGAGCGGTGCAGCTAGTTAAGCCTGTTAACTGTCAAGTAAAGGAAACTTATGCATTTAAAGGTTATTTCCTTCCTTTCAAATTCCTCCAGTTTAGAAATGACGGATCTCACTGAAACATACGTACTGTAACACATGATTTTTATATAAACATAATTTATTTAGAGTTTGAATTTTGAACTCGTGGCATGTAAGTTTTAGTCTGTATGATGGGCCTGATGATTTCTCTATTTCTGAAGCATTTTTAAAACTATTATGATAGAGATACTTCTTCCAGTGCTAGTGTGAATTTATTTGCATGGGAGGATTTTTAGCAGCAGATAAACATTGAAAAGCATTAGGTTGCATTAGTTAGAACTATTAGGAAGCTTTTTAGCTTGGGGAAACAACCATGTTTTGAAAGATTTTATTTTCCATTTGCAGAAATCCTGGTTGAAGTTAAATGTAAGGACATAGTTCAAGGAAATAGGTCAGAAAAGTCAGAAATAGGTTACCTCAGCGCAGGGGTTCGTTTGAAATTCTAGACTGGAAGTGTTTGGTTAGATCCCTGAAAGGGTTATTTGAGTTTGAGAAAATCTAAGCTCATTAGTGTGAATACTGAAGGAAGAGGCTATCAGACCCTCAAGACGAGGAATTGAAAGCACAACATAAATCAAACCTATAGGTGTAATAGAGAGGGCAATTATCTCTGGAGTTTGAATACGAGAGAGGGATGGTGTTTGACTAGATGGAATCTTCTATTTTTACTGTGTGTTTTGAAACTTTTGAATTTGTGTTATGTGTAAGTAGCTTGGTTTATTTTATCTTTTCTTTTGTGCATAAATTTCTGGTTTATAGTTAAAACCAGGTCTGTGGCAATGTATACTTGACATTCAGTGAAAAACTGCATTGTTAAAGAAATAACTATGATCTATCAAGTCATATTTCAATTTAGTATCAAACTTGACCAGTAGTAACAACAGCTGGGATCATAACAAGTGAGGTTATTGTGGCGTTTAAATTCACTAAATTTAAAAGGGATCTGTGTCATTTTTTAAGTAATGGGTACATGGTTAATCTGGACATAAAATAGCTACATTGTGATGAAGTTTATTGCAAGGAATTTAAAAGTGACTTTGAATGTTGTTGAGAGATTTCCGGAATTGGAAGATATAATGGTGGGTTATTTGCAAACTTTGACTAAAGCTAAACAGACAGTTAACAGATAAATTGAAGGTGGAAGGGAAAGCAAGACCTTTATCCAATATTTAGAATTGAAAGAAAGAAAATTGGAAAAGCCGATGTGACAACTGGAATTAGCTAAGATATTGTTATGAATTAAAAGACTTGAGGTAGAAGAGAAACAGATCAAAAGAGGTGTAGGATGGAGGAGAACAGAGTAATGTAAAGGTGCGTAGAGTAAATCTTCTTTGCACACTGTCCAGTTTAACTATGTCTTTCCTATGACAGGGTGACCAAAACTGCACAAAATACTCCAAGTGCGGCCTCAACAACTTGTACAACTGTAACATAATGTCCCAACTCCTATACTCAATGCCTCGACCGATGAAGGCCAACATGTTAAATGCCTTCTTCACCACCCTGTCTACCTGTGATGCCGCTTTCAATGAACAATGTACTTGCACTTCCAGGTCCCTCTGTTCCACAACAATCCTTACTATTTACTGGATAAGTCCTACCTTGGTTTAACTTTCCAAAGTGCAGCACCTCACACTTATCTGTGTTGAATTGCATTTGCCAATCCTCAGACCACTTTCCCATCTGATCAAGATCTCTCTGTAATTTTTGATAATCTTCCTTGCTATCAATAATACCTCCTAATTTTGTATCATCCACAAACTTACTAATCATGCCTTGTACATTCACATCCAGATCATGTATGTAAATAAAAAAGGTCCCAGCACCATCCCCTGTGGCACATTAGTAGTCACAGGCCTCCAGTCTGAGAAACAACCTTCAACCATCACCCTCTGCTTCCTACCATCAAGCCAATTTTGAATCCAATTAGGTAGCTATCCCTAGGTCCCATGTGACCTAACTTTCATGACCTGCCTGCCTTGCGGGACCTTGTCAAAAGCCTTACTAAAGTCCAGATAAACAACATCCACTGCCCAACCCTCATCTATCCTCTTTGTTACCTCTTCAAAAAACTCTAAAAGATTTGTCAGACATGATTTCCTGCGCACAAATCTATCCCTAATCAGACCTTGACTATCCAAATGTTGGTTGATCCTGTCCTTCAGTACCCTCTCCAGTAACTTGCTTACCACTGATGTCAGGCTCACTGGTCTGTAGTTCCCTGGCTTGTTTTTGATACCTTTCTTAAACAATGGAACAACATTAGCCACATTCCAGTCTTCTGGAACTTCACCAGTGGCTAAAGATGAAGCAAAAATCTCTGCAAGGGCCTCTGCAATTTCTTCCTAGCTTCAACTAACATCCGAGGATGGACTTGATCAGGCCTGGGAATTTATCCACCTTAATGCGCTTTAAGACTGCAAACACTTTTTCTCTGGTAATATGTATACGGTCCAAAGCATTGCCGCTTGTTTCCCTTAGCATCTACGATTCTCTCCTCAGTAAACACTGAAGAAAAATATTCATTAAAAATCTCCCCAATCTCCTGTGGCTCCACAATAGAGGGCCATGCTGAACTTTAAGGGGACCTATTCTCTCCCGAGCCATCCTCTTAATATGGCTATAGAACCTCTTGGGATTATCTTTAACCTTATCTGCCAGATCCATCTCATACCCTCTTTTTGCTCCTCTGATTTCCCTCTTAAGTGTGCTCCTATGGTGTTTATAGTCATCTAGGGATTCACATGAGCCTGATGTATGCCTTCTTTTTCTTGACCAGAGCCTCAATACCCCTCATCAGCCAGGGATCCCTAAACTTACCAGCTTTTTCCTTCACCCTAACAGGGACATACTGTCCCTGGATTCTTAATATCACACTTTTAAAAGCCTCCCATTTGTTGGTCATTCCGTTTCCTTCAAACAGACTCATCCAGTTGACTTCTGCTAGATCCTGCCTAATAGCCCCAAAATTGGCCCTGCTCCAGTTCAGCACCTTAAACTGTGGACTGGTCCTATCTTTTTCCATATCTATATTAAAACTGAGAGAGAGATGGTCACTGGACCCAAAGACACTTCAGTCGCTTGCCTGACCTCGTTTCCCAAGAGGAGGTCCAGTGTTGTACCCTCCCAAGTAGGGCCCTCTACGTATTGATTTAGGAAACTTTCTTGGACATATTTGACAAATTCCACCCTGTCTGGGCCTTTTACACTGTGGGCGGCCCAGTCAATACAGGGGAAATTAAAATCTTTAACCAATACTGCTCTATTATTCCTACAGATATCTGCAATCTCTCTACACAACTGCTCCTCTAATAGCCACTGGCTATTTGATGGCATATAATCTAGTCCCAACAGAGTGACCATCCCCTTCTTGTTTATAAGTTCTAACCATATGGCCTCATTTGATGACCCCTTGAGAATATCCTCTCTAAGCACTGCTGTTATGTCTGCCCTTATCAAAAGGGCAACTCCCCCTCCTCGCTTACTTGTAGTCCTGTCACGCCTGTAGCTTCTGTATAGCTGCCAGACCTGTCCTTCTCTTGGCCATGTTTCTGTTATGGCTATAATATCCCAGTCGCCAGAGCCAATCCATGCTCTGAGCTTATCTGCCTTACCAGGCTGGCCTCGTGCATTGAAATAAATGCACTTTAAACCAGGAGTCTTTTCCCTCCCTTTACTGTGCCCCTGGCTATCCTGAATAGTAAACTTACTTTTGATGGCTAATGTATTTTCCCCTAACTCCTCATTGGCCCATGCCTTATTCAGAGTCCCAGCCCCCTGCTAAACTGGTTTAAACCCTCCTGGGTAGTACTAGCAAATCTCCCTGTAAGGACATTGGACCCCCTCCAGTTCAAGTGCAACCTGTCCCTTTTGTACAGGTCACTGGAAGAGATCCCAATGATCCAAGAACTGAAAATCCTGCTTCCTACACCAGCTGCTCAGCCACACATTCACCTGGCCTATCTTTCTATATCTATCCTCACTGGTACGTAGCACTGGGAGTAATCTGGAGATCACTACCCTTGAAGTCCTGCTTTTTAACTTCTTACCTAACTCCCTATACTCATTTTGCAGGACTCCATCTCTTTGCCTACCTTTGTCATTTGTACCAATGTGCATAATTATCTCTGGCTGTTCACCTTCCCCCTTCAGAATGTTTTGCAACTACTCAGAGACATCTTGACCCTGGCACCCGGAAGGCAACACACCATCCTGGTATCTCTTCTGCGGCCACAGAATCTCCTGTCTGTCCCCCTCAACTGAGTCTCATCAGTATTGTTCTGTCTGACTGCACTCTTTCCCTCTGAGCTGGTCACAGTGCCACTGACCTGACTGCTGCTGCTAGCTCCCGAAAGGTCATTCCCCCCCAACAGAATCCAAAGTGGTATACCTGTTATCGAGGAATGGCCACGGGGAACCCTGCACTATCTGCCTTCACCACCCCCCCCCTTAACTCTTCTGGTGATCACCCGATACCTACAGCCTGCACCTTAGGAGTGACTACTTCACTATAGCTCTTAGTAATGATGTTCTCTGCACCCCAGATGATTCTGAGTGTATCCAGCTCCAGTTCCCTAACATGGTCTGTCAGGAACTGCAGCCAGGTGCACTTCTCCCTGATCTCCGACATCCTGCAAGAGGAGCAGACCATTGCCCTCAGTCCAGATAGAAAAAGAGTAGAGTTCCCTGTACCCCAGTTCAGCGTCCTCATGCCAAAACCTCTCGAGCAATGGCCTCAGCACTTCAGTTGTAATGCTGGCCCACTCTCTTAATGGCTGCTCCCTTGTACACTTTTAC